ACGGAGGGGGTTGCACAGCGGTGCCAGAGGGGCTGGGGTGCTTGAGAGTTCTCGGTAGTCCAGTGGTTTGCTTTATTCTCCTGCTTGTGGTGAGCTGGGGTCCTTTAGTCGTGCAGTATACAATGTAAACCATATATATATCTTAAGAAAGTCCATACAATTTCAAACTATAATTGGTACTGTAGTTAGTGAGATTCTCCTAACACCCGCAGTGCTCCCGGTCCCCGGGCTGCCGCCCTCCCTCCAGCCCTTTGCCAGGGAAGCACTGCCCCGCGCCGCTGCCGAGACCGGCTTTGGGTGACCATCACCCAGCCATGGCTGCCCATCACCCAACCCGTGGGCACAGGATGGCTGCCCATCACCCAGCCCGTGGGCACGGGATGGCTGCCCATCACCCAGCTCGTGGGCACGGGACAGCTGCCCATCCCTCCCCTGGCCCCATGGTGCCCAGCCCTGCCCATGCCCTTGCAGGAAGATGCTGCGGCTCTGCGGGGAGGCGGAGGACAAGCTGGCTCAGGAGCTCATCCACTTCGAGCTGCAGGTGGAGCGGGACGTCATCGAGCCCCTCTTCGTGCTGGCTGAGGTGAGCTCCTCGGGTCCGGGTGTCACCGTGCCAGGGACTCACATCCAAAACAAGCCTGGGGGAGAGCAGGGTTTCACTGCTTCGGTGGCGTATTTGGTTGCTGAGGCTCTGCGAGAGACCCTCGGTCTCTGAGATGTTTGCTGGGGTGGTGGTCCCGCCGGGCTCCCTCGCTGCGCTTGCTCTTTGCTGCCTCTCCCGAAGGCAGAGGCTTTAATGCTCTGACTTCTGACCCCTTTTTGCAAGCTCCAAACACATACTGTTGTTGTTTGGGACTTTTCTTTCCCTCCTTTTTGCCCTGGTTTTTCCATTTTACCCAACACTTTTCCCCTCAAACTTTTACATCTTGCAAAATATCCAGGGCGTGCTTCCAATTTTGTTTTCCCCAGCAGAAACAGCAGGAGCTTTGTCGCACTGCTGCCGCTACCGGGATGGGCGAGCAGAGCCAGACCACAGCTTTCTTTTCCCAAATCCTTTGGCAAGCCATGCCCGTGCCTGGGAGGCTTTGCATTGCCACCCCCAAAAGCCCTTTGGCTGCCTTCATCCGGCTGCAGGAGGCTGTGGTCCCCCAAGGATGCTCCTCGCAGGGATGCGGGTTCTGTGGTCGGGGGGTGGCACAGCCCCGGTGGGGACACGGAGGAGGGACGAGCTGTGCCATCTCCCTCATGGTGTTTAAAGAAGGAGCTGCGTCCTTATCCACCCGGCTTGCCCCAGCCCAAACTGCCAGCGTCGCGGCCGGGTGCGACTCACCCCGGGCACCTCTCCGGGGCTGTTCAGCTCCTCCCGTTCCTGTGTGCTGCTGCAGGTGGAGATCCCGAACATCCAAAAGCAGAGGAAGCACTTGGCAAAGCTCGTGCTAGACATGGACTCCTCCAGGACGAGGTAGGAAGCGGCTTCGAAGCTGCTTTATAAAAAATACAAGTTTCCAAGTGCTGGGTAGCGCCGGGGAGGGCACGTGCCGGAACTCTGGTACCACGGCTCCCTTGGGACAATAATTCTCAACCGTGTCACTGTGCCGTGAAGTCAGGCTCTGCAATGAGCTGAGATTTATGCTCTTGTCTGCAGAATCCATGGATCCCTTTTCCTTGCCTGCGCCCTGCAGGAAGGAGTATGTTTTTCTGGCACAAATCTTTATTTTTTTTCCTCTTTTCCCTATCTTGGTGAGCTCTGACATGATGGCAAAGAGCTGGGTGCTCCTGCCGCTGTAGAGTAGTGCTGGGGCGGAGCTGGGATGTCACTTGGGATCGTCCCATGTCCCAGACACTGTGGTGGGACCCAGCAGTTTGGGTTTTGCCTGGGGCCATTTGCAACTGTTTAAAATCAACCGGAGTTGGCCAAGCCCCGCGCAACCTCATGGCATGGCCTGGGGAGAGGTCTGGGAGGTGTCTGTAGTCCCCAACATCAGTCCAGGCTTTCCCATCGCCTTCCTCTCTCCTC